GAGGCCGAGGACCATGCATTGCGGTAATGTGGTTGGCAGTATATTGACTCTGAAGCTCACATTTATCAGTTATCATGTCAAAATCAACCATAATAATTTATTTAGACGGGAGGGAGTGAATTTAAAAAATTTTGGATTTAGTTTCGAGTATTTTAGGCTTGCATATATGTGCGGGTATATATATATATATATATATATATATTTATATTTAACATAATTGACATGACACTTTTGCATAAATTTTGTGTGAAGGGAACTGCAACATATTGTTGAGTTGAGATGGTATTAATCAGCATGCCACGAGAATGCATTATACGTGCTTTTATATATTGCATGAACTTGAAATTTATAGGGAACACAGTTGTTTTTGTTAAACAAATTAACCTTGTAAAGACATTAAGCATAAAATGTTAATTTTTTTAAGATCTTGGAGGAAATTAAATAGTAGATATACGAGAACTTATGATTTTACATCTTGATCTAGCAATGGTGTGGTGAATTACAGGTCTTAGTCCTTTAGGGTGTCCATTCACTTGGGGTGTGCCTGGCTTGCTATATATTTTTTTCGTCTTGACTATGCTTCTTTTGAATAAACTTAATAAATAATACAACAATTTTATGTATCAATTAAAAAGGTAGAAAACTTTAGTTATTGTGGAGGATAGTTTTTTTCTAGGCTATTTTATGTTTCAAAAGTTAGTTTTCAATAATGGTATTATAGAAAAATCAATTAGATTGATTGAATTATCAAATATATCCTCATTAAATCTTTTTTAATGATATTTTGGTCATTTCAATCCTTACTCTTAGCATTCAAAATTGAAAAATTAAGAACTCTGTCTCTTATATTAAACTATTTTTGATTATTACACACCTAAAAGTAATCCTTCCCATGCGCCTCCCTAATTGAATTTTGCATACCTAATAACTCAAAATCAATGTAGCATCCTTTGTTAATGACTTGATTATAGTTCCCTGTTAGTTTCTTTTAAGTAAAATAACATATTTTAGGTTCAATCATGTAACATGTAGGTGATATAAGTCAATAAATAAAAGAATATTCTCTATTATTATGGACCCAAAATAAATACAAAAAATAAAAATGTACCGATAAAAAAAAAAATAAAGATGGACATATACCCAATTTTACCTTCTAACTTTTCTTAGACCAAATTTAGCCTTTATTGCTTTTTTTTTTATTTATTAATTTCTTAATATCTGAAAGTCATATTAAAATTTAGGTAATTCAAAATCAAGTTGTATTAGACCCCATAAGAAAAAAACTCTTTCAACTTCTGTTTTTTTATTTATAAGATTTAAATTTGAAATCTTATTTAAGGAAAACCGAACTCTTCTTATTCCGACTGTTAGGTCCTTGATCCCTTTCTTACTCTTAATTCTACCATTTGGTTGTTATAATTTAGTATACTGATCGATTTAATACACTGCATAACATTTATTAAAAGTTTATTATTTTTTAGTATGAAATTTAAAATAAACAAATTTAAAAATATAACAATGTATATATGATATAAAAATTGATTAAATTAATTGTACTTATATTGTATTTAAATAACTAAATTAAAATAAATATAAAAAAATATATTGAATCATGACAATCATTTTTTTTATAATTTATTCATTAAAATAATTATTTAAAAATTTTTAAAGCTAATTATTTTCCAGACGGTGATTTAACGGGAGCTGAATTGGGCAATAATCCATCAAATGTATGGAGTGGTATCATGGCTGGTAAGGGTCTGCTGCAGAAGGGTTCATATTGGAGACTGGGGAATGGTATTCAGGTAAGAGCATGGCATGGTAGATGGGTTAAGATCACAAACTTTCATGCCTGCATCTAGACCGCCCAGAGGGATGTTCGAAAGATATGAATGAGCTAATTAATATAGAGAAGTCTTGGAAAGTGGAGGTGATAGATGAGCTTTTCTCCCACCGAAGATGCCACAATGATAAAGGCCATCCCATGGAGCAGAAGTTATGAAGACTCGTTGATCTGGATTCATTCACCGACAAGGGAATCTACTGTCCGATTTTGCCTAACATGTGGCTTGGAACTTTTGGCTTTTATATGGAAACTCAACATCTGGATGAGGAACTATTAAAGCCAGTGGGGAAGAAGATATGGGGGATGTAGGTACCAGGGAAAATTAAGCCTTTTATCTGAAGATTAGTCAGGGAAATTGTTCCTATGAATGACATATTATGTCAAAGGGGTATAGAGGTAGACAGAAGGTGCTTTAGGTGTGGTGATAGGGAGGAGAATTACTTTCATATTTTTGTGGATTGCTGTTGGAGCTCTAGATTGTGGGATGGAGTGATGGTAAATGTGGCCAGAAGTAGAATAAGGGAAGGGTCCTTCTTAGATGATTTTATAGAACTTTTTCTTGGAATTGAAGGGGAGGAGTTACAGAAGTTTGTGTGTTTGTTTTGGTGGATCTAGAATAATAGAAACAATTGCTTTCATAATGGGAAATGTAATTTGGTGAGTGGAGTGGCAAGGAAAATGGGGGATTATGTGGAGGAAATAAAAGAGGCTGGATATGGTAGTCTGAAGTAGAGCCGAGGTAAGAGTCAGGGAAGGAATGAAGCAGTGCAGAGCTGGTGTCTGCCAGAGGAAGGGTATATCAAGATCAATGTGGATGCTGCACTTCCGAGGGGTGCTAACTAGCTACACGTGCTGCTTGGGGTGATTGCAAGAGATCATACTGGGACGGTATTGTGTTAGGCGCAAAGAACTACCCAGATATCCTATACAGTGCTGGAGGTAGAACGCTAGCCATACAATTTGGAGTTCAGATTGAGAAGCAGATGAGATGTAGGAAGATGATGGTGGAGTAGGATTCAAGGGCCGTGGCACAATTGTTCAAATAAATTTAATGAATATTTTTTATATTAATTTTTTTAAAAATATAGTAAAATTTTACTATTATTACTGGTATCTATAATGTCCAAACATCTAGATTTTACACAATTTTATTTTTTACTTAAGAACTGATATTTTAAGTGGATGATGGGCTAACAAATTGTTTTTGTAAATAATAATTGTCAATTTTTCTATTTTAAAGAAAGGAGAAAAACAACGGAAAAGGCAAGAAAAAATAGGGGGAAAAAAAAATAGAAGGGAAAAACAAGAGAAAAGAAGGGGGGAAGGGTTTAAGGAGGAATCACCAAAAACCCTGCTCTGGGGTTAAGCTTCCATCTTCTCCCGCACAGGGTCAGAAACTTCTTCCTTTTGAACGGAGAATCATGTTCTCTCGCGCTCGCACCGCCAAGAATCTTCCTTTAACATTGCAGAAGCTTAAAGGTTCTCTCTTTCTCCTCCTCTCCCCTTTCTCTAATGTGTGTTCCTTTACATTTTCTCTCTGACTCGTGAGTTTATCTCAAGTTACACCACATGGACTCCTTACTCCACCATTTCAAGCTCCCTTCTTCTCGCACTTTGTTGGGGATAAACCAGTTCTTGTAAGTCATCTCTTTCTCTATTGCTTTAAATTGTGTTCATTTTGTGCAATCATTTCATTGCCTGTTATTGTATACCTGTTTCGTTTAATGGGTCTTTTTCTGGAAAATTATTTATCTGGTTGCATTATGATGATTTGAATTGATTAATGCTGTGATTTGCATTGATTGATCTTAATCTCAACCTGTTGTGTGATGGATGGCAGGTCAGAGATTTCATACATTCAGCACTGTATGATTCAAAACATGGGTACTTCTCCCAGAGGTCAGCGTCAGTTGGGGTTCTTGACAGGAGCATAAAGTTCAACCAGCTTGAAGGTATTTTGTGAATTTTTGAAATTTGGAGCCCAAGTAATTTGTATTTGGGTCGACAGTGATTTAACTGAAAAATTACTAGCACACTTGACCTACCCAGACAACAAGTTAAACAAAGAGCATGCTTAGATATTAACACTTTCATATAAACTTGGGGGGAGGGTGGAGAGAATCAAGACTCTCAATGGTGCCAGAGTTAGTGGAATAGTGCCTTTTCAGAATGTTGTGTGAATTTTAATGTGGAAGATTATGCGAAGGTTATGGCATCAGTTCTGACATACAATCATGCATGCATGTAAATTTGCGGACATAGGTAAATGGACAAGACATAGATGCAATGATGCGAAGTTGGTAGTAGCAGCAGCAGCAGCAACTGGTGGCAAGAGGAATTGTGCTACAAAAGACCAATGCCTCTGCTAGTCATCAGTCAGAGTTATTTAATTTGGATTGAAGGTGCTGTAATGATTTGATAGGGGTAGTGGTTGTAAGGAGTAAGAAGGTTGTTCTTGCTTTCCTGGATTACACAGCCCCTTATTTTCATAGTTTTATTTAAGTGGTTAACCCATCATGATCCAATATCATAAAGAAATGCTAGTACTTGACTGAATTGGTAATATAGATGAAACAGTGTCAGTATTGTTTATTATTACTTGTTTGAAACTTTGTTTAATTCTTGGGGACTTTATTAGTAAATATCATTACCAAACTTTTGCCATAGGAAGGAAAGCATATATGAAACACCTGGATAAGGTCTACAAGCAGAGTGGCATTTCTTGGTTTACCCCTGTGGAGCTCTTCAAGGTAATTTTGCACTAACAACTGCAGTATCACATTATGTTAGTCTACCTTATTCTGGCTTTTCATACCACAGAAATCATTGGGTTTATCTTGGGGGGATCATTTACATTTTTGTTTAATGAAAGTGAAACTACATTCTCTCTTCATAGCAATTACTGTGGCCACTGTTGGTTACCTTGCTGTAAGATACTTAAATATCTTGCTTGCTTATTCACTGATATTGTGAACTTTACTGTGCTTGTAGCCTTGGTATGCCCAAGGTATTGCTGAAGCAATAATGCGCACTGCAAACCTTTCAGTTCCACTAAAGGTGAGCTCCTCTGTCTCTGCATTAACTATTTACAAGAAATCCTTTTATGCTTTTAGTTTGATTATTGCTGTTGTTTGATTTGCTTACTTACATTCATATCAGTTATACAAAGCAAACCAAAGATTCTTGCAAACCCTTTTTGCCAACTTATGTGGCACTCCACTGATTAGTAATTTTTCAGTCAATAGGTTCCACTCTTTGAAAATAGCCAATCAGTAAACTTCCACATGGAATATTTTGTAAGAATCTTTGTTAGGCTATCGTTTCAATATTCTTATCTGTTTCAGTTTTCCTTTTTCAAAAGATTCTGTGATGCCAACGGATTTTTTTTTATTGCTATTTACTGAGCATTAATTTGTTAATAATCTGTCTGAAATTGTTTGTTTACATGAATGCCATATTTCTGGAGACCATTTTCTAATGCATGTAACTCATACCTTTAAAATCGTTGTGCTTGAAAATTTGATCCTGCTATCTCTTAATGCTCACTCAGATATATGAAATTGGTGGTGGATCAGGAACATGTGCAAGAGGCATAATGGATTACATAATGTTGAATGCGCCACCACGAGTTTACAACAATATGACCTACACGTATGTTTGTTGACTATAACTTTGTCTGCCTTGAAATGGTTTAGACCTATATGTTTAGTTAACTTGTTTAATCAAATATTTTTGAGCATCTAATTTCATGTTACTGCTGTATAGTCTAAACCTTGGTAACTATAGAAGGAAAAGAAACATTGTTCTCCTTTCCTATTGTATTAATAGTTTGATGTGCTTGGGGAATAAGGCTAATAATAATATTTATGATTGTGTTGCTCATTATTATTGCACTAAAACTTCCTTGTACAAACATTTGCAGAGCTATTTCTGTTGAAGAGGCACTATAGTTAAAATGAATTAGTCGATGAAAAGGGTGATGGGATCTTATGTCTTGTCCAGTTTTATGTGTATATGTGGTAGATTAATGAGGTTACCTTGCAATGTTCAGCGTTTTATGTGTTAAAACCATGTTGAAATTTCATTTTTTTTAATGTATCTGTTTCCTCTCTAAGTTAAAAAATTCCCAATTCCTTTCTGCAGTCTGTAGTGTTTCATAATGCTTTATGGCTTTGCACTATTGGGGACTTCAGTACTTAAAGCTAATTGGATAGCTTGCCTTATAGTTTTCCCATTTGTCATACTGTGTACAATCATGTGCATAAATTTTTTTATTCCTTGCAGCTCAGTAGAAATCAGCCCCTCACTGGCTGAGATACAAAAACAAACTGTCGGGGAAGTTCGTAGTCATCTATCCAAGTTTAAAGTTGAATGGCGTGATGCTACAGAGCAGAGTGGGTGGGGTAGGTTCCCTATCACATCGCACTGATTTGAGTTCCCCGTTTTAGATATTAATTGGACTATATATACACGATGACATCAAATTATATAAACAACAAGATCTTGCTCATCTTATGATGGACTATTGGTATCATCATTCATGTTATATGATGTTATATAAACTTTTTTTATGCACAAATAAGTTAGCATGCTTCGCTTTGTAGAGGTTTAGACTCCTGACCTTGATCCCAAGATCAGGGTTTTTAAAGTTAGTGGGTACCAACTTGGATCATGTTGTCTAAACTTGGATTGAGTCAAACATGGTTTTATTTATCTGACATTGATCCTTTAAATTTCTTGTAATTTTTTCTGCATTAATTTCAAGGATCTAAGAACCATGTTGTGTCTCTGATAAATATTGGACAGAGATTCTCTTAGGTAAAGGATAAAGATATCCAACAAGTGTCATATAAAAATTTTTTTAGAGTACTGTGAGGATCTTTTCTAACATGGTAGCTAATGTGGTTACATCTGCCAAAAAAGAAGGGAGATTTTAAGCCCCCTTGCACTGATATATGGTTTAAACCAAGGAAGTGATAGTTGATGCGGGCTGCAAGACTTAAGTGTTTTCTTTTCTTTACTGTTTGTTTTATATAATATAAATATTGGAGTCTGTTGTTCCAGTATGTCTCTAAGGCCTTGCTGTCTGACACCTCCTCTTCTGTAAAACTCAAGAGCTCTTCCTTTATCTTGCTCTCAAAATTTCTGGTTGTTTGTGTTTGATATTTTGCATGATTCATTGGCAGTAGGGAAAAAAAAAATCAATTTTGTTGACATCTAGAATTCATGTTTACTATTTACTAGTTGTAGGTACCTCTCCTTGGCAGCTTGGTTTTTTCTCTTGTATAATTTTTTTCCACCTCTCATATTCTCTTATTTTATTGATGAGTTAAGAACAATGTTGGCTTTTCACTTTCAACAGGTGATGTGGATCAACAGCCTTGTTGGGTAATAATGCTTGAGGTATCTATGTTCTATCTTGAGTTGCACTCCTTCCTTCTTGACAGCACATTATTGCCATCACATGAGTAGCTGGTCTGGTTGATACATACAAGTTGATCTAATTGATTAGGGAACAGTATCTATAGAAAGCATATCTATTGATTCCTTTAAAGCATTCAGTTACCATCAGACTCAACAATTAACAATATCATACACACATCTGAATCTCAATACTTTCCTAAGAGTGATTTCCTACTATAGCCTTATTGGTCAACTTGTCTTCGCCTTCAGGGATCTCTCTTGTTGTTGTGCCTACTAACTTCAAGCTATATTCATGAACAAAGGAATTTCTTTGCTGCAAGTTTCTAGTGTCTCTCTATAAGATTTATATGAGCTGTTGCAGTTTTTTTATATATCCTGCATGCCAAAAATTGTATGTTTATTTCTTGGCAGGTGCTTGATAATCTTCCCCATGATCTTATCTATTCAGAAAGTCAAGTTTCCCCATGGATGGAAGTGTGGGTTGAGAAGCAGATTGATGGGTAGGGACCACACCACCTGCAGCCTGCAATTATTGTTTTGTTATGTCATGACATTATGTAGCAAAAGAAACTCATTAACTTTCAACTAGAAATGATTCATTATTCAACATTTAGTATTAAGTAGAATCCCTTGAAATTAATTACCTTGTCACAATAGCAAACTAGTCATCTTGTCTAAAATCATCTAAACTTTTGGCCATCCTGTGAAGTTGATCACCCAAACTGTTTTCCATTATTCGATCAATCATCTAATTTATAACTTCAATGAATTAAAAAAATTCAATTAATAACGTTTATCTTTTTGTCCTTATTTTTGCCCACTTGAAACATTTCTTCAATGGCATGTTTACTTATTTGCTAGGGAATATAACAGTACTATATGTCAAAGTTTTATTGGTTATTATAGTTATTAGTTCATATATATAGTATATCTGTACTTCTAACTGGTCCTTTGTTAGCAACTAATAAAGTGTTTTATCTGTAATATCAGATGTGGAGTGAGTTGAACTTATTCTGTGCTGACCAAGGTTTCTTGCTTTTGCAGGCAAGCACTCTCAGAACAATACAGACCTTTAGAAGACCCATTAATTAAACGTTGTGTTGAAATTGTGGAAATGGATGAGAAACATGCCAGCCAAAGCAGTGTTATTTTAAAGGCTTGGTCTAAATTCTTTCCAAAACCTCGAAGATGCTGGCTTCCAACTGGTTGCTTGGTAAGTATTTCAATCAACTTACTTAACCTCTAAAAACCAAACTGGTTCCTTTTGGATACATTTTGCTCATTTCTTTTTGACCAAAGGCCATCGAAAGGTGGCAAGTCCTTTCTTACACTTTAATCCATTTAATAGTTAGCTTACCACTACCTTTCTCATTTCTTCTATTTGAATTAAATTATTCTTATGAATAAGAGCTTTCTAAGCTTTCATTATTTATAATGCAGCCATAAGCTACCATTTTCTTTAATTCATTCTGATTTCTGTGACACAACATCTACCCTCATGGGAATTACATTTTTTATTGATCTTATCTTTTCTTTTATAACCAAGATCTATTTCAAAAATTATTTCTTCTAGTAATCACTCTTTTGGGATAATTTTACTTTTGGAATTTGCAGAAACTGCTGGAGGTGTTGCATGCAGCATTACCAAAAATGTCTTTAATTGCTGCAGATTTTAGTTACCTACCTGATGTGAAGATACTGGGTGAAAGAGCTCCATTGGTTTCAACTAAGGTGTGTCATGCTTCTCTCCTATACTTTTTTCATGATCTTTGTATTTCGTATGGTGAACTAACTGTGCATGTAAAGGATACCCATGGAAACAAACTTCCCCTTTCCAGTGGAGGAAAGGAGTATCCTCTTTTCTCTCTCTAAGTATTTTAATTCATTAGTTAATCTTAGCTAAAGTTTCCAGAAAGTCTTTTTCCATGAAGCAAATGGAATAGGTTTAAAGACTAAGGTCTGTTTTAGACAAAACCTAAACATGTAAATAGTGTATGCAATACAAATCTCACTCAAATAAAGATTGAAAGCTAGATTTTGACATCTGTAAACCATGGGTACACTTGATCAAGCATGAGAATACTCATTATTAAGGAATGGTCTGTTGTGTTGCTTTCACTCAGGAGCATGGGAGCAGATTCACAATCCCCAAAGTTATTGTAGTCAATTATTTTTTGTCTGTTTATTCTGATATGTAGCCTTATCTTCTGCATTTCTGAAGTCTCTAGTTTCCCATACATCATAATCAAAAGCATGTCAGGGTAGATTGCTGCCTTAACTGTAGGTGGAGCATTGCTGATCCTTGTGGGGGAGTGGTTTGCAAATGCCATGGGACTAGTCGGGCCAAAGGTCTAGATAGTGGATACCCCTGTTATCCAAAAAAAGACTGCTACCTTGGATGATACAAGTTAAATCTAACCTTGTTCAACTTATGATCTGCAGAAGGATGGCCACAGCTTAGACTACAGCAGTTACCTGGATGCAAAGGTACCCTATTTAACTTTCATTTTTCAATATATTGCTATATTTTAATAAAATGCTTTTAAGGTCTCAGATATTCTGTCCGCAAGTACTGCTTGTTTAACCTACAAACAATAAATAATCTTCCCCTAGGAAAAAACTTAAGTATCTTAGCAGAGTTAGTTCCAGCTAACTTCAAAACCTTGATTCTGTGGTCAAGGTAAGAGTTCAAACCTCAACAATAGCTATTTCCAACTTATTTTCTGATTAAGTAAAAAAACTATAATTGTCTAAACACCATAACTAATCATTAAAATTGGTGAATAAAAAGAAAATTTCTGGAAATTAGACTTCTAAAGATGAAGGACTATTATAGCGCAAACTTTCCAAGCTGAAGTGATTTAAGTTTTAGAATAAGCTTTCCTCCTATCCATGCAAAACATTCTTAACAATGAGGTTCTAGTTTTAGTTTCTTTTCTCAAGGTGCTTTCTGACTAGAGTATGACTTTTTTCTCTTATAGAACTTTAACATCATAGTTAGATTTAAAATCCATTTGGACACTAAAGTTGACTGTGAGTTCTGTTTGCAGGGTGATGCTGATATATTTTTCCCTACAGACTTTTGGCTTTTGGAACGCATTGATCATTACTGTTCTGGGTGGCTAAATCTACGAAAAGATAAATTGTCCAAGGAGGGGAAGAAGAGGCGAACTCTTACTGTAAGTTCACATACCTTGTGTTGTGGCACTTTTATTTCTCATAGAAAGAAAATAATTTCCGAGAAAACCATGTTTACTGTTTAGTGCTAAGTAGTTTATTTTCCAACAAGTGAAGGTAATAATATTTTAGAAATCAGCATAACTACATGAGTTCAATTAAGTGAATGATCATAGCTCTTTGCTAAACCAACCGTAAACACAACAAAGTTACAATTTAGGAAATGCAACAGTTTCTCCATGTACAAGAACTGTAATACTCATACATACTGTTGAAAACCTATCAATCTAAAAATGCTTAAACTGGCAGCTAAAGGCTCAAAAATCTTATGGTTTAATCTGTTGTGCTGTTCACTGACTACATGAGTAATTTTTTTCAATGAAAATGGAATTATGGGGAGAGATTTTAATATGATGTCTGAAAAGTACCCAAATACTGAGACACAGAACGTATATTAACGATATGCTTGTTACCATCAACATATTAGTGCAAAACTGTCAACAGTTTTACATAATGCCTCTAGAGAAACAGGGGAACAACGTAGCCAGGTAATGTTACTTTTGGAATGAATGCTGAGAGAAATAGTTAACGAGGTTAGACTACTAAATGAGATAGTTTCTTTAGCCAGAAATGCTTTCTCTACTGCAGAATTATATCAGTCCTCACAATCCTAGAACTGTCAGGGACATATTTGATTGCATTCTTATATAAATCAATAGATTGTCTGCAATTTGCTGTAACTAATTATTCTTTTCTCTTTTGGCACTTTTATAGCTTGATACGTCTTCATTCATGGAAGAGTTTGGGTTGCCGACCAAGACAAGAACAAAGGATGGATACAACCCACTTTTAGATGACTTCAAGAACACTAAATTTTATCTGAGCGTTCCAACACATAATACCAAGTAAGCAGTCCACATTTTTTTTCAAGGAAGCATCAAGTTTAACGTGGTCTTTGAGAAGTATTTGATCACAACAAACAAATTACATGCATTATTACAATCAAATAAAGATTTTCCATGGAATCTGAGACATGTTCCAATCTCAGCATTGCTGGACTTTTTCCTGTTTAGTTGTACCATTGAAATTTACGGGACTGAAACGGGAATCAATGTGCTTGATAAGCATTGAGAGATGTTAAAGATACCCATTTTATCATTCTTATCCTACAGTGTGCATGGTCTCTCTCTCTCTCTCTCCTTTTTTTATTTTTTCTTAACCTGGCAAAGGCCATTCTTCACTCTTCCGGATCATTCCGGGTGTATTTTTACCAGCTGTTCAATGTGGCAAGTGCATCTGGAGTATCTTTTCTTTGACTGACTCAGTGAGGTGGTTTTTTTATCTCAAAATACTATCTC